TTCCAATTGAATCATCATTCTTTGAAAACTCCATCATTCTGACTACAATGCCTGAATTCAGTGCTGAATTTCTTATTCAGAATGAGAATCTCTGAAAGTCAGCAGTAGAATCTTTGTTAAACACAATAATTCTATCTGAAAGAGATGAAAAGTGGGACAAATTCATTCTTCATAATATTCCAGTTGAAATTTTTGACTGTGAAGAAGGAATGCTACTTCTCAAAAATGAATTGAAAGAATACAACTCTATTCAACTGAGAAAAGAGCCTGTATGACTAAATTCAATTGAGTTCAGACAAAGCAGGAGAAATGCCTCTGTTCTAGTATATATAAAAACACTTAAACAGTCAAAGATCTCTGAAGTAAGAGTAGCAGGTTTGAAAATGAGAGTTCATGAATATAAAGACTTAAGGATGAATCTCAAAGCTCAAACACAGTGTTCAAACTGTCAAAGATATGAACACTTTGCAATCTCATGTTTTAGAGACTCAAAATGTGCATTCTGTGCCAGAGATCACAAAACTAGTGAGCATAAATGTGAAACATGCTCAAAAAGAGGTGAAATTTGTCAACACACTCTGCTTAAGTGCTCTAATTGCAAAGAAAAACATGCATCTAGCTCAAAAGAATGTATGTTTGCTTCTAGAACTCAAAAGAACTGGAGAAAAGATGAAGCTCAAAGTCAATCTAGAACTGAAGAGAAGAGTCAAGCCAGTAAACTCACAACTGCAAGCTCAAAAAGAAGAAACTCTTAACTATCTAAGTCTTCAAACTTCAACTCTTCAGCTAAATGTAAACAGAACTTGAATTCTCAAACTTCTGTTAAGATTAGAGAATTGAGAAATGACTCTGATAATAAACTAGATATAATGCAAGCAGTTGAGATTTCTACTTTTCAGAACAGTTATAATCTACTATCTGATGATAGTGATTAGATTCTACTCTACTCTCTTTTAGTATGAATATACAACAAAAATAACAAAAAAAGTTTAAAAACTCTTCAAAAATCACATTTATTCAAAATAATGTGAATAGAAACTCAAATTGTATTTATTCTTGTCTTCAAATTGCATTTGAATAAAAAGTTGATTTTATACTGCTTCAGGAGCCGAATTTTGATGCTGAGCAAAAATATGTTATTTCTCATTCAAGCTACTACTGCTTTTTACCTCAAAAGTCTGAGATAAAGTCAAGAGTAGTGATCTATGAAAGAAAGAGATCAAGATATCAATTTAATCTAAGATTTGATATCATGTCTGACCCTGATATTCTGGTGAGTGATATTATAGATAAAGAAAATGAGTTTGATACTATACAGCTCATAAATATCTATAATGAAAAGTCATTGAAGGAAAATAACAATATCTGGACAATTGATAGAGGATTTCTGAACATAACTTCATCAAGAAACTCTATAATTGCAGGAGATTTCAATGCACATCATCTCTGATGAAATTCAGAATGCAAGAGAGCAGTGAGAGCTGATAATCTGATTAAATGAACCTTTGAGCATTCAATAGATTTGGTTAATAAGTCTGATCAACAAACATTCTTTAGAAAAGGCATGAAACAGAAGTCTATTATAGATCTAACCTTCATGTCACAAAATCTAATGAAAAGAAGACTTGTAAACTGGTTTATTGATTCAAATGAGACATCAGGATCAGGTCATGAGATTATTCAATTTGATATTGAACTGAGTGAAAAACAAATGAGTGAAAATCCTCTTCTCTCTAATCAGTATAACTTTGAAAAAGCTGATTGGAAAGCAGTTGAAGAAAGCATAAAACTGCTAAAATCTGAAAGACAGAATGAGCTATATTGAAATTCTGGTCAAGATATCTCAAATGAAATGCTTGAGAATAGAGTGAAGCTTATTACATCTATTATTCTAACAAGTGTTAGAGATAATATTTCAAAAAGAAAATCTTCTGAGTATTCAAAATCTTGATGAAATGAGAATATCTCATCTAAAAGGAAAGAATTAGCTACTGCTAGAAGAGATTGAAAAAATGATGTAATATCTGATGAAGAGTTCAAAGCTGTCAGAAATGAATATTTTTCAGATATCAAAAGAGCTAAAACAGACTGCTGGAATAAATTTCTTGAAGAAGCACAAGGAAAGGAAATTTTTAAAGCTTTTAACTATACTAAAACAAGAAGTGTAGCAAAACTTTCAGCCTTAGAATATGAGTTTCAGAATGAATCATATACAGCAAACTCTTTTGAGGAAAAATGTCAAGCTTTTATGAGAATTCTCTTTCAGAACTCATCAGACTCAGATTCAGATTCAGAGGAAGAGAATATATCACTTCTCAACTACATTGATGAAAATGACTGAGAATGGCCTGATCTTACACAAGATGAATTAGAGTCAGCTATCTTCTCAAGTTCTGTTAAAACTGCTGCAGGTCCTGATTCAATTAATCACTTGATTATTCAAAATACATGTTCCTACTTAAAGAATGAATATTTTGAGCTGTTTTTTAATCTCTTGAAAAATGGATATCATTCTGAATGCTGGAGAGAAGCCACTGAAGTGATTCTTGCAAAACCTAATAGAAAAACTTCAATTCCTAAGTTATATAGAGTAATATCTCTATTGAACTGTTTAGAAAAGGTTTTAGAAAAGATAATAGCTACTCAACTATCTTTTATAAGCTCTATAGATGATTCTCTTTTATTCAGTGAACAAATGGGAGGTAGAAAACAGTGTTCTGCAATTGACACTGTTCTCTCAGTTGTTCATGATATTCAAATAGCAAAGCATGAGGGTCTGGTCTCAACTGCAGTTTTTATTGATATAAAAGAAGCATTTGATTATGTTTCAAAGTCAAAGTTAATTCAGACATTGAAGATATTAAAACTGCCACTTTCTCTAATAAAATGAGTTAACTGTTTTATGTCTAAAAGAATTATACAACTCTTCTTTGATGGAATGAAACAAGACAAGACTGAGATAAAAATAGGAGTATCACAGGGGTCTTCAATCTCACTCATTTTATTTGCAATATACACTGCATATCTATTCAAAAATAGAAATATGAGAATAGTGCAATCTCTGAGTTATGTGGATGATATTTGGTCTAGTCTACAGCTCAAAAACTATCAAAGAGAATTTGAAAGTAATTGAAGAAGCTGTAAAGAAAATCTTTGTTAGAGCAGATATCAATCAAATTCAATTTGATATGGATAAAACTGAGTTAATTCATTTCTTTTCTAGATTCAATGAGTAAGAACTATTCTCTAACTCTTTTAAATTGAGAGATTAAACCCTGTGTAAATGGCAAATGATTAGAA